TTTTTTTGCGGAACCGGGGATTGAACTCAGGTCCTTGTGCTTGCCAGGGAAGCACTTACTCCACTGAGCCATCTCCCCGGCCCTCCAATCACTATATTTTTTACTTCCTAAAAAATTAAGTATCAGAACTTGCTAATACAGGAATGAAAAAATAAAGTAAAATAGAAAGGAGCAATATAGACACAGGTGTATTTCTTGGCCATGTAAATGTAACTGCCTTTGATTCGTTGATCAATATGCATGCCAGCCTTTGTGTTAATAGGTAGTAATAGGTAGTCATATTTTATCATGTTTTTAAAAGACAAATTGAGGGGCTGGGGAGATAGCTCAGCAGCAAAAGTGCCTGCCTGGCAAGCGTAAGGTCCTGAGTTTGATCTCCAGTACCACTAAATAAATAAATAAATAAAATACAAACTGAAAAATAAAACAGGAGGATCACCGTGAGTCTGAGCTGTGTAGTGAGACCCTGTAACAACCAATTACATTAAAAAAATATGTAACAGTTGGTCTGATAATTATAATAAAATATTTAAACTTATCTTAGTCTACATACATATTAACCAGTATTAACCAATTAACCATATTGGTTAACCATATTAACCAGTCCAAGTAAAAATAATGAAACTTTGTAGCATTATACTTCTATTTACTTTTCCTATTCTGAGTACTACTTTTGTTACATATTTTATATATATAGACACTACAAACTCAACAGTGCAACATAGTAAGTTTTTGTCTTGGACAGTTTTAAATTGTATATATTGTTAAGGGAATGAAGAAAGGAAAATTACATTTCTATGTATGTGTTGTGCCTATCAACTTATTGACAGTTGAAGAAATATATTTAGTATTCCTGGTGGTGTTTATTGTTTCTTGTTTATTCAGGCTGTCATCTAGGCCATTTTCCTTCAGTCTAAAGAACTCCATTTAGCAATTCTCATGGTGCAGATATGCTAGCATAAATAATCTCAGTTTTTAACTTTATTTAAAAATATTTTCCCTTTACCCTCACAATTATGAATACATTTTTCTTTATTGTAAAATTCCTGTTTAGCATTTATTTTCTACTTAGAACTTTTCTATTTCTTCTGAACATCATTATTCAGCCATTAAAGGGTTGGGGAAGTCGTGCAATGGCCAAGTGCCTGCCTAGCATGTGTGAAGGCCTGGTTTCCATCTGGGTACCACACTAGGAAGCCAGAAGGAAAGAAAGGAAGGAAGGAAGACTTCAAAAATGTAAGGTGTCCTTTTATTTCTTCTGTTTTTGAGATTTCTGTCTTTATCTTTGGCTTTCTGCACTTTTGCTCTGCATATCAGTCATATAATTTTTATGCTTTGATCGGAGCCCATAAGTCCTTAGATCTGTACAGAATGTTTTCTGTTAAATATTGGAATTTCTTTTGTTATTTAATTTTTTCTTCTCCTGTCCCTTGAAAGACTCAGTTATACTTATGTTGTTCTGATTGATATGATTTTGTAAGACTCTAAATGTCTATTCATTTTTCTTTTTTTTTTAGGCAGAGTTTTTAAAAAAAAATTTTATTTTTTATTTATGTGTGTGTGTGTGTGTGTGCGTGTGTGGCCAGCTCAGCCCACCAGGGGGCGGGGGCTGGCTGGCATGTGGTGCTGGGGGATTGAACCGCGGTCCCTGTGCTTTGCTAAGCTTGTTCTAAGTAGGTGCTTTAGACCACTGAGCCATCTCACCAGCCCTTGATTAATTTTTTATGTCTAGTTTCGTTCTTTTGCCATCTATAATCTGATGTTAAGTACACCTGGTGAATTTTTGCTTTTAGTTTTGTGCTTTTCATGTCTTAAATTTTCATTTTTAAGTTTCATATCTATTAAGCTTTTTTCTTTGAACATGCTTATAATAACCACTTTAAAGTCTTTAACTGTTTATTCCAATAATTTATCCTATCTGCTGTAGGTTTTTAGTGACTGTCTTTTCGCCCCATAATTTCATTCATACTGTTCTGTATCTTTGCACATCTAGTACATTTTGGTTCAAAATGAACATTGTAGCTACTACATTTTAGTGATTCTAGATCCTTTTGTGTTCTCCTGAGGACTACTAATATTTTGTTTAAATAGGCCATTAGCTGCAAACTCTCTATCTCTCTTTTGAGGTGCAACATCTGGTATCATGACTCTGTTCTGGAGGTTTCTTTTTACTGTTGCTTTTATTTAGCCTGACTCCAGGCACCACCTCAGTGTTTCTGAGGTCAGCCATAGATAGGAGAAGACTTGTAACTTAGATTTGGGTACTCATATTCTTGGTCAGCTTGTTTCTGGGCTTAAATTTATGGAACATCTCTGGCTTTAGACTCTCACTCTAGTATTTTAAGCCAGAAAAGCTTCATTCCACTCCCTGCCAGCTGAATTTCACAGGTTTGAGGAAGGCACTCCATTGGGAAAGCAGCTAAGTAAGAGACATCATGCAGGGCCCCTCCCCTCTAAGGACTCTGGTAAGACTCTGGTGTGTCCTCCATGCATGCATAGGTGAGTGGTCAGCCAGACGGCTGGGTATAATTTATACCCAGATTTTTGGTCATACTCTGTATTAGTGAGGGTTCTTCAGAGAAACAGAATGGATAATTAGAGAATTGGCTCAATCAGTTTTGAAAAGTTAGCAAGTGCAAAGACAATTTACTGGCAGCGTTTCCTCTATGTCCAGGAAGTCAGTGCTTTTCTATTATGGCCTTCAACTGATTGAATAAGACCAACTTACATTATAAGACTAATCTGTTTTATCCAAAGTCTATTAATTTAAATATTCACCCAATCTAAAAATTATCTTTATAGGGGCCCGGGGAGATGGCTCAGTAGAATAAGTGCTTCCCTGGCAAGCGCAAGGGTCTGAGTTCAATTCTTGGTTCCGAAAAAAAAAAAATCTTTATAGAAATATCTAAATAGTGCAAATATATGGGTTCTCTGGCTTAGCCAAGTTGATACATAAAAATCAATCATTCTAAGTTTACTTCTTATCAATTTAGTACACATATTATCTTTTAAAATCATATTCTCTAAGGAAAGGCAAGGACATAATAATACATATGCCTAACATGATACAACTATCCTATATCCAACCAAGAATATATTAACTCTTCCCCTAGAAGAGGAGATGCAAAGTCCTCTGATGATGTTTACTCTTCACACTGACCTTTAGGAACTTAAATATTTTGAAATAAAGTTCAACAAAGTTAATTATTATAGTGTAAAGTTAGTACAGCTCATATGTCATGATAAGTGGTTGTATGTAATATATATATATATATTATGTATATAAATACATACAAAGGTATTTATAACAAAATAAGGAAGAGAAATATTTATGATAATTACAGTCCTAATTTCCCTAATTAATCACATGGTTATCATTAATAGTCACAGCAACCTTCTTTCACTACCTAGACCATATTCCCTTTGTTCTCAGCACGTATCTCCAGGGTCCATAGGTCTTCAGTCATGGGATGGCCCAAACCTTGATTCCTGAGAAGGCTTCATTGTGTTTCTTCATGGATGTATTCTTCCTTTGGGAATTAGGAGCTCAAGATAGCAGATCATAAGATGGCAAGAGCAGGAAGCCAAGGCATTGCTAATGAGCCATTAGGGGTAAGATGAGTGATGCCAAGGCCATTTCCACGCCTTGCTTCTTGGACTTCTGAACTCTATCTTGGGGAGAAATAGCACCCTATGCCATACACTGCTTTGATGCATTCACAGCCTTGGGCAAGACCTTGGCTCAGCCCTGAAAGGTATTGCCACCGGGCTGGTGCTGCAACTGAGTCTTCAAAAGATCATTCCTCCACTCTACCAAGTCACCTGCTTTGGGACGATGAGGAACGGGGAGGTCCCACAAATTCCGTGGGTATGGGCCCTTTGTCACACTTCTGTGGTGAAGTCAGTCCCTTGGGCAGGAGCAGTGTGGAGCGGAATGTCATGGCAGTCGGTCATCCTTTCTGTGCTTCTCTCACTTTCAGGATTTCTCTCTGAAATCTCCACCTGTGCAGGCAAAGCTGCAGTTTTCTGCTGCTACCAGCTTTCTTCTACCAACTGCAGATTTTAAGGAGCATGTTTTCCTTCAGGGTTTTTTTTTTCCTATTTTAAAAACATTTTTCACCAGATATTAGAATTGTTTTTCATTGAAGGTTTTATGACCAGTGTTCCATGGCTATTATTAATGGAAATTTCCTTGGTGGCATAGTTTTTATCCACAAAACATTTCCGAGTAAGATAAATGAGCAAAACTGGGGCAAATGGCTAGGTAGACTGATGCTGCATTGACAAACAGAACTCTGCTTCCTAGAACCCCACTCACAATAGTCACATCATATTTTTACTGCTCTTAGTTCCTATCATACTAAAATTTGCAAAATGTCAATTCTTTTTTCACTCCACCTTTCTAAAGTTGTGCCTGTTTTTGTTACTAGGATTTGGATGACCTTCACATAGAAGCACTTTCAGTGGTGGCTAATTGCCTTGAAGATATGGATACTATGATGCTGATTCAGCGGACAGGGGCGCTGCAAAAGCTCCTTGCATTTGCAGAGAGCTCTACAGTACCTGACATCCAGAAGAATGCAGCAAAAGCAATTGCCAAAGCAGCTTATTACTGTATGTCTCATTTTATATAAATTATTCATACATTTTCCTCTGATAGTCCTAATTGTGACTACTATGAGAAAACACTAGAATACTAGTCTGCTATTTTCTGTTGGAGAACTGCAGTGTATTTACTACTTAAGGCCAAAGCTCGTCCCAGTGCCAAAGAGTTATAAAGATTTCTTGGGACAGAAATAAACTCAATATGATTTAATTAGAATCCTATGTTTAAATGAAGGTTTAAGCTTTTGTTTGGAACCATACAGAAAATAGACGTTGTTTGTGTTGTTTCAAGAAACCCACATTCAGAATGAGGTCAACAAAGTAATATCTAGTTTCAGCAAGATTCTGGCAGTACCATGTTATACAGCCATGAAAAATAATATGCTCAGATGATATACGTAATATGATTTTCATTTCGGTGACAAGCTATGTTGACAGAAATCTGTAAGATAGGAGAGATTAAGTACATCTCATGCACTGCAGGTGAAATGACAATTTTAATTTATGTATATGTGGAGTATTTTGTTTGATAAAAGATGTGATTTTATTTTTCCCCTTCTGTATCACTACTCTTATAAATGATGACAGCTTTGGCCATTTTAAGTGACTTATATTCTAAATGTATATAGTCACATCTGTATATATGTCTATGTGTATATAGTGCAAAACATTTTTTTTCAGCCCATTCTAGATTTCGTCAAGGCTTTAGTGTAGCAAGCAGGATTTTGCTGTCTGCTTCATGGTCAACATAGAGGGGTCTTATAAACAGGGAAGAGTCCAATGGAAATGAGCATCATAAGCCAAGTGAATGAATGGCAAGGAGGAGCCATTGAAGAGACTTAGAGGAGAGAGTATTAGAGCTTCTCACTTTTAAAGAGAGAAAAATTTTGCTGCAAAGTTGAGAAGAGACTGGAAAAGCCCGAGAAAGGTGTAATTGTGGTGAGCTCAGTGAGAAATGAAGCTGCTCTGACAGAAAGCCAAAACCACATGTTCTCACTTACATACAAAAGCAAAAAAGTTGATCTCATGGAGTAGAGAG